TCAGGACTCCTGGGTCTGAGGGAGGAGGGGGCTGGGGGCCCGGACTCCTGGGTCTGAGGGAGGATGGTCTGAGGGAGGAAGGGCTGGGGGTCAGGACTCCTGGGTCTGAGGGAGGAGGGGGCTGGAAGTGAAGGCTCCAGGGTCTGAGGGAGGAGGGTCTGAGGGAGGAAGGACTGGGGGCCTGGACTCCTGGGTCTGAGGGAGGAGGGGCTGGGGGCCCAGACTCCTGGGTCTGAGGGAGGAGGGTCTGAGGGAGGAAGGGCTGGGGGTCAGGACTCCTGGGTCTGAGGGAGGAGGGGCCGAGGTTCCAAACTCCTAGGTTCGGGACTATTGGAGGCTCAGGCCCCTTGCCTGGAGCTGAAGCGCCCCCTCCTCACCCCCCTTGGCAGGTGGTCTACATTGCCTGTTCCTTCACCACAGTCTGGATGATTTACAGCAAGTTCAAAGCCACTTACGACGGGAACCACGACACCTTCAGGGTGGAGTTCCTCGTCGTCCCCACAGCCATCCTGGCGTTCCTGGTCAACCATGACTTCACCCCTCTGGAGGTAGGCTGCCTGGCAGGCTCCCTGGAGAGTGCGGTGGCCCAACAGCTACTGACGGGGGACCCCCTCAGAGGCTTCCCTGTGCAAGGCTTACTCGGGCTTCCTTATTTTAGGACGTACAGGTTCAGGAGCTGCTCTGAGCACTTGGTGCACATGAACTCATTACTTGACACAGCAGGTCTAAGTGACTTGTCAAGGTCATCGGCTTAACGGATAGCGCAGGAATTGGGAACAGGGGCTCTGGAGCCAGGCTGCTTGTATTTGAGTTCCAGATCTGGTACTTTCTATTAGTGGGACCTAGCGCATGTGACTTGTCTTTGCTGTGCCTCGGTTTCCCTATCTGTACCATTGTGATCAGGTCGCCGTGAGGGTTTACGGATTATGTAGCATGGTCTCGTGGTGAAATGCATAGACTCTGGAACCAGAGAGCGGGGATTCAAAGCCAGCTTTGACCCCTCAGTAGCTGTGGGACTGCGGACATGTCTGTAATTTTTCTGTGCCTCAGTCTCCTTGTCTGTAAAATGGGATGGTCAATTCCTACTTCATAGGGTTCTTTTCTTTTTTATTTCTTAATGTTTATTTTTATTTTATTTTATTTTATTTTTAATGTTTTATTTATTTCTAGGAGAGAGAGAGAGAGAGAGAGTGAGCAGGGGAGGGCCAGAGAGAGAGGGAGTCACAGACTGAAACAGGCTCCAGGCTCTGAGCTGGCAGTCAGCACAGAGCCCGACGCGGGGCTCGAACCCACGAACCGCGAGATCATGACCTAAGCGAAAGTCGGACGCTTAACCGACTAAGCCACCCAGGCGCCCCTCTTAATGTTTATTTTTATTTGAGAGTCAGAGAGACAGAGCATGAGCAGCGGAGGCACAGAAAGAGAGGGAGACGCAGAATCCAAAGCAGGCTCCAGGCTCCAAGCCCAGTGCGGGGCTCAAACTCCCGAACTGTGCGATCATGACCTGAGCTGAAGTCAGACACTTAACTGGCTGAGGAACCCGGGCGCCCCTCAAAAAAAAAAATAAAAATAAAATAAAAATAAATATATATATAAATATATATATATATATTTATTTATATATTTTTAAAAAATTTTTTGGTATTTTTATTTATTTTTGAGAGAGAGAGAGAGACAGCATGAGCAGGGGAGGGTCAGAGAGAGAGGGAGACACAGAATCCAAAGACAGGCTCCAGGCTCTGAGCTAGCTGTCAGCATAGAGCCTGACACGGGGCTCGAACCCACAAACTATGAGATCATGACCTGAGCCAAAGCTGGACGCTCAACCGACTGAGCCACCCAGGCACTCCTCAAAATATATTTCTTAAAGCATTGTGCAGGCTGGACAAATGTAACAGAGGGTGACTTTGGGTCCCAGGTCCCAGGAATGTCCCAGGGATGCTGCACCATGCCAGGGTGGGAACAGTGCGCTTGGCTGTAGGCCCTGGTCTTTGCAGACGTACCGTCCTTACCACTTTTCTGGAGTGCTTACCCATTTTGCAGATGAGGAGACTGAGGCTGGGGGAAACGCACTGGGGCTTGCTGTAGGTGGAGGAGGCCAGACCAGAACCCAGGCTACTTAACTCCAGCTTCTGCAGTTCCCTCATTCAGAGGGGGAAGGTCACGTGTGCAAACTATTGGCACCCACTGTGTGTCCAGCTATGGGCTGGCTATTCTGAATCCCTCGTCATTCTGTATGACCCCTTGGCCCCCTAGGGCGCAGACCTCCTCATCCCCATTTCTTGGAGCGCTAGGGTGAGGCTCAGAGGGGAGAGCTCACAGGATCTGAACCCAGGTCTACCTACTCTCAAAGCCCGTGCTATTCATTGGTGCGTGCTTAAAAAAACAAAACAAAACTCTTTTTGAATCCAAGAAGAAAACTATTTTTTTCCCCTACAATTATTTATTATTAAGAGACAGAGAGAGACAGAGCGTGAGCAGGGGGTGGGCCGAGAGAGCGGGAGACACAGAATCCGAAGCAGGTTCCAGGCTGTGAGCTGGCAGTCAGCACAGAGCCCGACGCGGGCCTCGAACCCATGAACCGTGAGATCATGACCTGAACCAAAGTCGGACGCCCAACCGACTAAGCCACCCAGGCGCCCCAAGAAGAAAACTATTCTTTACGAATTCAGACATCACAGTAAATGAGTTTGAGCCCTGTTTCAGATTGTGTGTCTCCCTCTCTCTCTGCCCTTCTCCCGCTCATGCCGTTTCTCTCTCTCAAAAATAAATAAACCTGAAAAAGAAATCAGACATCACGAATAGATACAATAGACACGAGGAAAACATGACCTTCCGTCCCATAATTCTCTTCCCCAAGGCCGAGCCCAGAGATAACAGCTTAGTGTGCATCAATTTAATGGGTACGTGTTTTGAGAGCCTCAACCAACCTGACTTGCTAAGACCGGGGCTGAGGGATTCTGAGTGATGCCTGGAGCCTGGCATCCGTGTAGGAATCTATTTCTACCCACACTGTAGCTGTGCGTCCTTGGGCCTCAGTCTTCTGATCTGGATAGTGGGGATAATGACTTACCTCATAGGATTAAGACATAAGCCAGTTATATGCCCGAAAGGGCAGTGCCTCGGATGTGCTAAATACGAGGTAAGCGTGAGTCGTGATAAATATGCCCTGCTGTTCCCCACTTTTTTTTCTCAGAACAGCTGAGGGCAGACACACCTGCCACCTGGCCTTGGCCTCTGAGGGAAGGTTTCAGTGGGTCTAGAGACCAAAGGCCTCCCCAGGTGGGACTTTCAGGTTGCTGGGGACTGAAAGGGGGCCGACAGATGTCCTTTGGCTCTCCTTCCCCCTCCGACGCTGCCCTGTCCTGCTCACAAGTGATGGTTGTTACTGCTTCCTAGCTGGTGGCCCACGCGACGGCCAAGCAAACGGGAAGCTTGCTGTCATTCACGCGTTCGTTCATTTGGGCCCGGAGAGCGTGGCTGGCGCTGTGGCCACGGGGTGAGCTAGATGGGGGATCCTGGGCCCCGCAGAGGCCGCTTGGTTCTGGGGAGGGAGGCCAGGAAGGAGAGCAGAGGGGGTGATATGAGAGTCCTGAGGGCGGGGCCGGTCAGGGGAGGCCTCCCTCAGAGGCAGTTGATGAGCGAGGCTGGAAGGAGGTCAAAGGGGCAAATTGCGACAATCTGCAGGGAAGAGTTTCTGGAACAGCAAGTGCAAAGGCCCTGGGGCAGGATGGAGCATGGCATGCCGTGCGGGGGGACCAGATAGAAGGCCTGGGTGGCTGCAGCCTGGAGAGCCAGGGAGGAAGTAGGAGATGAAGCTGGATTGTGTCTTGAAGGCCAAGTTGGGAATTTGATCTATTTATTCTGGTTGTGACAAGCAGCGGTGACTGGACGATTTTAAGCTGGGGAGTGACTGTGTGTGATTTATGTCTCTAAACGCTGCACATCGAATGTCATCCCAACAAGGGCAGGAAAATCATTCCTATTTTACTTTATTTTATTTTATTTTATTGGTTACTTTGTTATAAAAAACATTTATTTTTTATTTTTATTAAAAATATTTTTGGGACCCCTGGGTGGCTCAGTTGGTTAAGCGTCTGACTTCGGCTCAGGTGAAGATCTCACGGTTCGTGGGTTCGAGCCCCGAGTCAGGCTCTGTGTTGACGGCTAGCTCAGAGCCTGGAGCCTGCTTCAAATTCTGTCTCCTCTCTCTCTGACCCTCCCCTGCTCATGCTGTCTCTCTCTCTCTCTCTCTCTCTCAGAAATAAAATATTTTTAATGTTTATTTACTTTTTTGAGAGAGAGAGAGAGACAATGCGAGCAGGGGAGGGGCAGAGGGAGAGGGACAATCCGAAGCAGGCTCCAGGCTCTGGGCTGTCAGCACAGAGCCTGACGCGGGGCTGGAACCCACGGTCTGCAAGATTGTGACCTGAGCCCCCCAGGCGCCCCAGTTGCTATTTTAGAAACAAGAAAGTAGACGCTCAGAGAATCTGGGTCTCTTGCCCAGGGTCCCCTAGAAGGGAAGGCTCAGCGCCCAGATGGCCCCCTGGTCTGCCTTTGGACGGCGCAGAATTGCCAGGGGCTCGTGATCACTGCCTCCAAACCCTCGGTTCGAATCCGGGCCGTGCCGCTTGCTGGCCAGGTGGTGTCGGGCAGGTCTCTGGGCCTCAGTGTCTTCAACTGGAGAATGGGGATGCCAGTGAGAGCAGCCCATGAGTCGGTCGTGGGGATTAGAAGGGAGACGGCCTGTGGCACGGCCTGTGGCACGGGTAGAGCGGGGTCTGGCACACGGTAATGGCCTTCTCTCCCGCCCCGCCTCCTCCCGCCTCCCCGCCCC